AAGGCCTTATCCCCAGTATCTCTGAATCATGGGCTCAGAGTGCGTTTACGTTATTGGAAGTCATGGGTCTTGTCTCTCAGCTCTAACTGCTGGCTGATGGGCTTTAAGCTTCCAAATTTTGACTTCATTTCTGTCCTGTTTACTGGCTAAGTCCATGACAGATCTACTTGTATCTCAGGTGCTACGCTTTCTGTATTTTTAACCGTGTCTTATTTGTGCAGGCTCGTGAGGCAGTAGAGATGCGTGCCCAGGTGGAGAGAAAGATGGCTCAGAAAGAAAAGGAGAAACATGAGGAAAAGCTCCGAGAAATGGCTCAGAAAGCCAGGGAGAGAAGAGCAGGGATCAAAACCCATGTTGAAAAAGGTATATTTCTTTGTTTTTAAGACACTATGGCTTTTTTTAACACTCTGAAGTATGGGTTTGGAGTAATAATTTGAGAACTTAAAATATCTAAATACCAGCTGAAGTATCTAAGTATGACATCAGTTCATGTCTTTATTGGTTAATTCGGTGGGTGGTTTGATGGCATGCAGATTTGAACCTCACATCAATATGTTAGTGTATACAGGTTTAGGACACTGAGAATTTTCGAGTTAATAATGCATTAATGCAAGCGATGGCTTTCATGGACAGTTCTAAACTAATTTTTTAAGCTTATTGCAGATGAAGAGCATCTTTGTCTAGAAGAACTAAACAATCTGTATGTTTTCAAAGGTGATAAATGCAATATTCTGGCTCTTACAAGGTTGTAACTGATCTTGCAGAGCTGCAATTTTGTGGGCCAGTAGGCCCCAAAAAGCCCTGCTGCCAGCCTAACTAAATTGTCTCCCTTGTGACAAGTCTTACGTTCTGGTTGGAATTACACTTCAAAGATCAGGATGATGAACTTAAGAGAGCAGTTACGACCTCTCCAGAAGGTGGAGGGATATAATGCCAAATCCTGCAGCTGGGATGTGCTAACCTCTTACCAACAGGCTGGGGGCTGGCCAGCTGGAGAGCCACGCTGTTGGAAAGGATCCAGGAGTTGTAGTGGACAATATGCTGAATATAAGCCAGCAGCGTGTCCTGGCAACAGTAATGCTAAGGGCACACAAAGCTGCATCTGCAGGAGCGCAACCAGTAAGTCAAGGGAAGTAATAATTTTAGACTGCATCTGGAATACTTTGTGCAGTTATGGGCCTCGAGGTACAAGAAAGATATTGATAAATGGGAGTCAGTTCAGTGGAAGGCCATCAGAATGACCGTGGGGCTCAAATAACTGCCTGTTCAGGAGATGCTGAGAGAATAAGGCTTGTTCTGCTAGGAGATGATGTGCCGTTGGGTAATGGGAAGGTTACCCACAAAGTAATCTCAAAATGATTCAGAAATGATTATCAGAGCTCTTCACCAAGTTATACGATGCAAGAATGAGACAGTGGTCAAGAGCAGAAGCAGGTGGTTTCAACTATGTGTCAGGAGAAAAATTTTCACCATAAGGACAAACAGCAGTGGAACAGGTTGCCTAGGAAATCTCAGTCTATCCTTGCAGGCTTTCCTCACCTGAGTGGGAAAAAGCCCTGACCAACCTGGTTTGAATTCAGCATTGATAGCAGGAGGCTGTGAATTTGACTCCCTTCCAACCTGAGTGATTTTCTGATTGATATTGCATCACTGAATGTTCTTCAAAATACTTAAATCTCTGCATGTTTCAATGATACTTTTATGCTTAAAATTATGATATAATGATCTGTACATGTTTTAGGATAGTAATTCCTAGACAGACAATTATTTTAAGCTCTTGAAAGCTGGAAGAACAAAGTTATTAGGATATGTCTCCTTTGACTTACCAAGGACAGTCACTTGCTCGGCATAAGAAAGCTGTGGTGTTTGTGTGTTCAGTTTATTAGAAGTGTTAGCACTTTAAACAGTGCTAAGGGTCACTATGCTTCTCTAAAAGAATACTGAATTGAATTACTGTGCCAATGTCTGTGGCAAAATTCATTCAAACTTCAAATATTTGTCTATAACGAGCAATCTTGTACTTGTTCAGAGGATGGAGAAGCTAGAGAAAGAGACGAAATTAGACATGACCGGCGCAAAGAGAGACAGCATGACAGAAATCTTTCCCGGGCAGCCCCTGATAAAAGGTGAGTCACAAAAATAGCTGGTTTATTCCTGCACTGGCACTGGCTTCTCCACTAGGGAAGCTATTACTGGGCTTTCCTTTTTTTGATGTAAGTGCCTGAATTGTATCTTGTGGAGATGGTCACTAGTATGAAGCACCAGTTTGTTTACTGTATGAAAAGGTATTACAGTGTTAAAATACTGCAGTACTGTCTTCAAAACAAAATTGAATTTTCCACATGAATGGGAGAAGGGGTATGCTGTGTTGGTTTTGAGTGGGTTTTTCTTCACCAGGACTAGAGTACGTTCAGGCTGAATTAACACGTTGACAGCAAAAACTGAAACCTGAATCTTCTAATTTTGGTGGGACCAGAGTTATCAATAGTGCCTTTGTTTCTTGAAGCTGTTCATTTTAAGTAAGCTTAGATTTATGAAGGTAGGCTGAAGTATCTTATTAGCTGAAGCCACTGAGATTTCTGAGTGCAGATGGTTTCTGGATGCTTAAAATCTCTAGTAAGTTGAAATTGGATTGCTCGGCCTTTCCAGAATATAATTACACTGATTCTTGCAAAAAATAAATATGACATTTTAGACCAAGTCAGCTTGATGTGAATTGCAGATAGTGGAAAGCAAATTTAAATGTCATGCCCAGCTGAACATAACTTTTCCAAATGTTGCTTTGCCAAGAGACAAATTTTAAATGTTACCAAGTAAGGAAGGACAAGAGTCAAAATCTGGCTCCTGAGGCAAATCGTTAGCAAGGAATACATGATCAGGTTGCAACTGAGCATGTCAACAAGTATGGTTTACTGACCTCATAAAACTTCTCAAATTTTTAATTCAGGTCAAAGCTGCAAAGAAATGAGAACAGAGATATCAGTGAAGTTATTGCCTTGGGGGTACCCAACCCCAGGCCCTCTAATGAAATCCAGTATGACCAGAGGCTGTTCAACCAGAGCAAGGTAAAATACCTTTTCACAGCTTTCTATGACAACATGCTCATCCTTCCTTTGAGGGTACAGCTAGAGTATTAAAGGGAGCCTGTTCTCATGGTTGGTGTGGATACATTAAAAGAAAAAATTTTTTACATAAGTGATTAGGAAACTATTGATTTCCTTTATCCAGAGCCTATGCAAAAAAAAAAAGTTGAATATTCTAAGTGTATAGATGGATTAAAGCGTTTTTGTTGTGATTTTTCTCACTTGGGAGTGGGGAGAAAAACTATTTTGCCTTCAAGCTGCAGTGACCTCATTTTCTTCTCTTGTACAAGTGTACTGACTGAATAGGAAATCTGCTCTCAGAGAGAAGCAAGTAAATACTTTCTATTCCCATTACTGCTTGTGTTAATACTCTGAAGATATAAACAGTTAACAGCAACATTTATTTTCCCTGAATTTTATACTATTCAGAGATGACAAAATAGATTGAGCTTCAGCAAATCCCTCAATAGACCTGCAGTTTGTCAATCACTCTTTTTCACGTCTCCAATGAAAGACTTGCAGGCAAGAAGGGAAAGCTGACGAACCAAAAATGAAAAAGCAGACACTTCTACTTCCAGAGTTTTTATAAGCCTCTGTGTGATTTGGATCAGTCAGCTTAAATCATGTTTTCCAGATATTCTGAATACACATTTCTGTATGGTTGTATTTAGCTATTACAGACAGCTCTACTTGCAGGGCAGACTGAAATGATCCATTATTTTGAAATGCGGATGGCCTGCAATCCTTCCTGTTGCTATCTGGAAGAGTAGGACTGAGACTTGTAATGTCATGTTCTCTGGACTTAATCCCAGACCCAAACCCACTCCTATCCTCGTTAAGTGCTTGTACTTGTTAGAAATCAATCTTAAATCACACTATGTCATCTTTGTGTAACTGTGTAACATCACCAGTGTATTTTGTTGTTAAAATAAATTAGCTGATATTTTGTCGATTAACTTGTGCTGTTCTGGTGCTCTTCACAGGGGATGGACAGTGGCTTTGCTGGAGGAGAGGATGAAATTTATAATGTTTATGACCAGCCTTGGAGAAGTGGCAAGGATATGGCCCAAAACATCTACAGGCCAAGTAAAAATGTGGATAAGGACATGTATGGTGATGATCTAGAGGCTCGAATAAAGACCAACAGGTAAGGAAATAAATTTAAGAAATATTCTTAGTTAGTACTCTGAAGATAGTCAACCGAGTATCATCTTCTCCTGCAGGTTTGTCCCCGACAAAGAGTTTTCCAACTCAGATCGTAGCACCAGAGGCAGGGGGAGAGATGGACCAGTTCAATTTGAGGAGGATCCATTTGGTTTGGACAAGTTTCTGGAAGAAGCTAAGCAACATGGTGGTTCTAAACGGCCATCAGACAGCAGCCGCCCTAAGGAACATGAGCATGAGAGCAAAAAGAGGAGGAAGGACTGAATGCCTCTGCTCATTGAGAGGTAGGGAAATGGACTGCAATCTTGGACTTCATGCAAGAAGGATTTTTAATATTGGGTGTACAGAAGGATGGCACTGTAACACAACAGTTCACAACTCTGGCCGTGTGGATATATACACACTTAATTCTTCAGCTACCCAAGGAGAGAGACGACATGGAGACCACTCTGAAACATTTCATAAGGGAATTAATTGTTCTTTAGCAAGTTCCCTGACTTGGCTGATTTCCCATTGCCCAGCATCTCAGAGTAAGAATGTAGCCCCCTTCCTACATGCTTAGTTTTTGTAGGTAGCTAAAGCTTTGACTTGATCTGTTAAAAACTTTCCTGCTGTATATAATGATTGTCATATTCTGTAACAGATGCTGGGGTATTAATGATTCAGTGTTTTAGTGTGGCTATACAGTTTCTTTCAACAGGGATGGGGAAACAGCTGGATTCTGTTTTAAAACAAGCACTCGTTCATAGTTTCTCAGTAATCTTTATTTAGTTTCTTTACATTTAGTGAAATAAAGCCTCCTTCCACCACTCACTCACTCGGATTCCTTCTCTGACTGTGTCTTCTACGGATCTGCTGTTTGAGAGTGAGCTGAAAACAATGGAAATTATTGAAATTAGCTAGGCAAGAAGGTTTGTTATTTTTCATTTCTGATCACCCAGAACATTGATACAGAAAGCAGAACATACGTTTATAACCAATTCAGTTTCAAAAGCCCCAAGCCAGGGCTTTCCTGACAGGAAAGTGGAGTATATATGCATAGCAATTGCTAGTTGTACCAGCAAAATGCATCTTAAAAGCTTGTGCTTTCAATACTAGGATTAATAAAAAGTGACTGTCTAAACCTAGCCTAGAAAAAAGTGGGACAAGTGCTCATGTATTCTAGAGAAGTATGCATTTTTGAAGACACAAAATAGCTACTGCTTGCCTTCTGCTTTTTATTTCACTATAAAGAAGCTTCTTAGCTTGCACCTCTTGTGAAAGTATAGTCTTTGAAGCCTAGGCTTCAAAGTGCATGTAGTTATCCTTAACAGCTTCAAGAATAAAAAGCAGAAATTTTCAGGAAAGTGACACTAAATACTATGCTATTTCTACTACCTAATTTGTTAATTGCATACAGATAATATCCTAGTTCAGTACAATTTATGAAGGACCAGCCTACTGCCAATCTAATCACAGTTTAAGGAGTCTTAATTTCTGCTCTCATTTTTGTACCACATTTGGAACGGGCAGGTTGGTGGTTCTTGGGAATAGGTACTGAAGTAACCACAACCAATGATGACTTACACAGCAATATGAACCATGGCAAGCAAAATACTTTACCACAATCAAAATACTGTATCACGTCAATTCCTTTCACTATTTTCTAGCACTTGAAGTCTCAAAATAAGAAACTAGTTGTCAAAAGGATATTGAAGAATTCAGGCAGCCATTGACTCCCTGTTCTTTATTCCTTATCTATCAACACTACTGCACACTAAATGTTGGGAAAATGGTGAGATAGCTTTGCTCTGTTTCTATGCTGGAGTGAAGCTGGAGAATACAGTTGTCTGGCTGTAGCTGACCAGGCAAGGACAGACACTTTTGTATGTGCATTAGACCATTACACTGTCTTGATACTATACACTATTGCACTGAGATTGTTGAAGTGTTGTATTTTTTCCTTTACTAACACTAAAAAAGTTAAAGATGGAGAGAACAAGACCCTACATTAAAGTGAATTTAGAGCTGTCTTGACCACATGAAAGCAGATTTCTCCTGTATGAAATGGCAGCTGAAGAAAAACAAATTTCACTGAAGTTTGAAGTTAAGCATCACTTTCTTTAGCCTGTTCCCCCTGCCACTCAACATGCAGATCAGATGTTGGAACCCACCTGCAGAAACCTGCATTGCAAACTGCAAACTAGTTGCATAGCAAATCCCAAACGGTTTTACTGCACTTGCATTACTTTAGCATAGCAGGAGTTTTTTGGTCTCTTTAGAGCGACCTCGCTGCTCTCTCTATGATCTTGACCCCTAACAACGTAAGCTGAGTAGAAGGAATAAACAGAAGTGGTAGTGATTTTAAAAACATTAAAAGCACGCTGAGTGACAAAATCCTTAACCACACTTTGAAAAGATACAGTAGTATTTTCATGTTACTGTGTCTGGTTGAAGGTAGAATTCGAGTCAACTGGTCCCATTACTTCATTAAAGGAATTAGCACATTACCTTGGAACCTTCAAGAATGTGGGAGTCCTTCTGTAACGCATTCTGAACTTCTTCTGGAGTTGAGAATTTAATCCAGCAATAACGTCTGTGAAAGCCTGTATTTCTGTCCTAAGTGCCAGTTAAAAAAGATGTAATTACTATAGGAAATATTCACATAGGCTGTTTAAAACTTTATACAGATACTGAATTTAAGGATTCAGAAATTATCAGAGGAGTTGGCACACTTGCTGTTTCCGGAGCCGTTTTCACACTAACACATTTGTTGTCAGTGACAGCATGGGGGGGTCTAGCAAAGGCTGTTTTACATCCCTTTCAATTTGAATCCGGCAATAATAACAAAAAACCGTGATCTTAAGATATAGTTGAAGCCTGGAATAATATATAGACAGTACTTTCAAACTGCAGTATTTATCTACTAATTGAGCCAGTCACAACAGAACTGACATTTCAATGGCCACAGTACTTGAAAAACATTCAGCAAGATAAAGCAGCTGCTTAAGAGACTAGGCAGAGTGCAACTCAGAATGACAAGCACTAACTGCACTGAAAAGAAAAAATATATTTTTAGAAATAATTTGCCAGTCAGAAAAGATAATTGTCAATAAACAGGTGATAATGAGGAAAAGCCAGGTGTATCCAAGTGCCTTCTAGCCCTACTCTGACCCCACTCAGAGTTCACAACAGCTCAACCACTCATCATCAGGCATAACTGACAACACTTCCAAATCACCGACAAGATACTGCCTCGTTTCAGTATCACAATAAGTCTAAATTAGACTATCCTACACTGGTGATTCTTGTACCTTTGGGTTTTAAGCACTGACGAAACTCCTCAAGTAATCACTGAATTTAAACATACACACATGTATCACTTCAATCAGTGATGGAGGCAGGTTTGTGGTAAGCTACCAGACTTTGCAACAAAACAAAGCAGTCTGACCTGGGCTTGAGGAAAAACATGACAGGCAGGCGCCTAAGCTTAAAGTGTTCAAAACAACTAGCCTGTTTGAAACTTTCTCCATCTCCAAACTCATCATCAGTGGAGAGCAAACCCATCAGCTCACTAACTGAAATTCACTACAAAGTGAGCTTAATTTAAGAGGATTACTTCATGTGGGGAAACACAAGCAGTCAGAACCTTCACACTCAGAAGTGGCCTGCAATTTACCTGCAAAGACAAACCTGCACTTTTTTTGACTGTTCATCTCTAAAAAAGTGTAGTATATACTATGATCCCCGACCTATACACTCAGAAAATGAACAGCCAAAACGACAGAGGCATTGGCAGCACCCTGCAGAGGTTATGGGTTTTGTTAGCCCTGCACCCTGGATGGGGTCTGAATCCACAGCAGGAAAAAAAAGTAGATTCATACCTACACCTTTAGTTTTTGGCCAGTGAGACCATGCACACAAAAACTTTATTCTGTCAGAAGAATGGTAACACCATGATAGGTAAGCTCAAAGCACTTTTAGATTAAGTATTCTGAAATGGCAGCATCAACAGGATGTGAAGAATGTACTCCGTAAAGCTCTTTGAAAGCCAATGGAAACCACTAAACTTCAATAAGGCCGAGCGCTCGCAGACAAATGGTGGCGCTCCTAGAAGAAGGAGCTAAGAACAGAGAGCACTGAAAAACCTGAACAGAGTTCAAGATGAAGCATCCAGACTGCAGCTCCGAGGAAGCTGCTTCGGGGCAAGGCCGCAGCCAGCGGCTCTTCCCCGCTTCGCCGAGCGGACGCGAACTGCGGCCCAGAGAACGCGCGGGTACTCACGAATGGCAGCTGGCACCTCTGCACCGACCCGAACTGGGAGAAGTATTCCTTCAGCTCCTCTGTAGGAAAACGCACCTGGTTACCCGGGCCCGACGCCTCTGCGCAGCCGCGCCGCCCTGGCCCGACCCCCGGCCTGTACCGACACACGCGGCAGGGCCGCCCAACCCCGCCAGCCCTAGCAGCAGTGAGGGATGGGAAGCGGGGGACGCAGACTTACTGCTCGATACCGTCCAGGGAATCTCAGCCACGAAGATATCAAAGAGCTGCCGGGAGCGGCGCCCAGCCGCCCGCACCGCACTGGCCGCCGCCATGTCGCGACTGCAGTGAGAGGGAGGGACGGAGAGAGGGAGGGGCGGCCCCGCCCCGGCCGGCCCGAAATGGCGGCGGCCCTGACCCGCGAGGGCGGGGAGGATGCATTCCGTCGGCTCTTTCGTTTCTATCGGCAGCGCGACGCGTCCGACCTGCGGGGTGTGGTGGACTTCTCTGCGCCTGGGGGCCAGGTAATGCTGGGCTCTTTCTGCCCGTGCCCCGCAGCGAGCGGCTCGGAGTGCGTCCCGCCCTCTGCGCGGTGTCTCAGTGCGGGGCTGTGGTGGTGTCGCTGCAGCCTGTTCTCTCCACCTGCTGTTTCCTTTCGTGCCCGACGCATATTCCCCAGTGCCGCCTCGTTTCTGGCTAGAGGACGCTGCACTCGAGAGCTGAGCCTCCTACGGCTGCCTGTGATGTTTTAGAAGTGAGGGCGTGACCCGAGAGGGGCAGCTGGGAAGGGCCCGGGGCCCCTCTGCCCGCGGGCCCTAGGGCCGGGCTCGCCCAGGGTGCCCCTGAGCCACGGGACTCTGCCCGAGGGCACAGCCGCCCCAGCGCTGTGCCTAGCCACAGATTTACTACTTTTGCTTATATTTACTTTCATAATGTCTAATTTGCTCCCTACACTGCAGTAGGGGATCTTCAAAGCCTCTAATAAAACCACGTGATACTTAAGCAGCACAACTTCTGGACATAAAAAACCCACAAGTTTCACTCTGTTTCCTGGGCCAGCTAGTCCTTGTCTTAGCCCTGAAGTACCTAGGTGGGCTGGAATCGGCTTCCCCTTGCTATGGTGCCTTCCCCCTTGTCAAGCTTCTTTTCCATTCTAGTTCCTGTATAATAAATGTTGGCTTAGTCATCAGCTCTTACAGGGGGTTGGGTAATGCAATCATCAACTGAAAGTAGTAGCCATCATAGTAGTTTACCATGTCTTCAGTGATTAAGAAATTACCCTTAAACCTTGTCTTCTGTTTTGTCACCTCACAAAAGGATGACACGTATCTGCTAAAGTGCTGTTAACCAGAGATTTTCTACTTATGAGCTTATGTTAAAAAAAAGGAAGTGAGGGATATAGTTAAAATAAAACTTTGCCTAATTTTTCATAGTTTCAATGCTTAGTCTTTTCTTTTTAGTGTTCTGTTAATCTATTTATTTTCTGTCTTTTCGGACCATAATTTTGCTGTTGCTAATGGAACACAAAACCTGACCCATATGAAATTGTCAGAGGCATTAGAATTAACCAAGGAAGTTGTTAGCATTTCAGCCTTTCTAGAGCTTGCAGGAATCTTGTATTTGGTAAAGGATTACAGCATTATGGCTCTTCTGGGATATTCAAAATATTTGAAAACATCACAAGGATCTGTCTTCTCTCAATAGGATTCTTTTTGTGCCTGTTACCTTCTAAGATCAGGTGACAGCTTACTAGTGGAAACATCTTTTATTCCTCTTTCCCCCAGGTTAAAAACATCTGGTTTTTCTTTTTAAGAGCTACAGGCCAGACAGATTGGCCCAGATAATATTGCTTCTTTTTTCTCAGAAAACTGCTTCAAGCAATTGAGCTCTTCAGTGAAGTGTGACATACCCCATCTGCCCTGTTACCAGGCTTATTTGACTGATTCAGCACATGTATTTCTTAAGCATAGAAACGTCTCCTGTTCTTCAGAAGCCCAGGGAATAGCTGGCATGGAAGCACTTTGAGTATGCAATGAGGTGGCAGAGTTTTGGTCAGAGGATGAGTCTTTCTTGGGACACTGTGGACAGGACTGTGAAGTAAGCTCAAGGCTGCCACTCACAAAGCTGCTTTTGACAAAGAGCTGAAAAATGGGTAAAACTCCCTATATTTCCAGAAGGTGCTGCTCAGCAGTACTTCTGAATTTCTTAGAAATCTATATATGTAATTTACTCCTATTGCTGTTAGTTCCTGTTGCTCAGAAAATGTTAACCAGAACTGTCAGCTGCAAAGAGACTGATTTACACATGCACCACTACAGAGGCTCTGTGCAAAGACCTTAATTTGAAAAACATTTTAAGTTCTCATAGATGAAGTCTTGCAGTCTCTGCCTGTTTATTCCTACTGTGCCTGACCATCTCTTTCCTTATATGAGTCTGTACCTTTCCACTGCTGCATGGAGAGCTGGACTGGGGAACTAATCCAGAACAAAACCAGCCTGCCTCTACCTTGCCTTCCTCAAGACATTTCCTTAAGTGAAGAAGGAAGTGGGAACACAGTAGAATTAATTTGGTGGGTTTTTTTCAGCAAATGTTAGCTTAAATGCTTGTGTTATTGCAACTTAAGAGAGTATGTCAAGTAAATACATCTTGCCAAGCCTTGAGCTGTTGATCCTGCTGTTGGGAACAGAATTGGCAGGGTGGCATTCAGAATTGACAGTATCTATAGTCCTTCATATCTGAGCTTTGGCTGCTTCACTGCTGTAACTGCTTAGCCTTCTGTAAATTCGAGATGAGAACAGTCATCTACCCTGTAGGGTCACGAGCAACTCGTATTTGGAATGCTCTTTGAAAGTAGAAAATGTTATGAGTATATTGCTCTCTAATGGAGGTCGATGATTACCAGAATGTTTTATAATGATGAGGCTGTACTGTGGAAATGGACAAATCATGATGAATTTTTTCTCATTGGTATATATTGTTTGGGGTTTTTTGTGAGTGGGGGACATCTCATCTCGAGGTAAAATCTGTAAGTACCTTTTGATTCTTTCATTGAATGTGTCCTGGCTCTGTTTGCCCTGTCCTGGTCACAGCTATTTAGACAGTAGTTCTGTGATAGATTTGGCATTTTCACAGAGTTACCTTCAAGCATTGTAGCACTCTTCCTTTTCGATACTATTTTTGGATAAGTTTTGTGTTTCTCACTCTTTTTTTGACCAGATCCGTTTTCTTTTGCCAGGTGTTCAGATCACAGCTCAGTATTTCTTCAGTCAGTGATCAAGATGCCTACAGAGCAGGATTACAGCCAGTTAGCCAGTGGAAAGCCTATGGCCTCAGAGGGTATCCAGGTAGGTACCTCTGATTTCAAGAAAAATTAAACACAGCCTTGTTGCTTTGAATTCATGCTGTTTCAATCTTACCTTTCTTGTACTGCCTGAAAAAGCTATTTTGGTTTTCCTAAGTGTAATTTGATGTTGTAGTAAGTGCAGGAGGATGAACAAATCAGCTAAAGGGTGGGATGCAGCAATATTTATGAAGGTGAGGAGAGCCAGTTGTTTCACATTGAGATCATCTAGACCATAGCTCATGGGAATAGATTCCTGTTGCCTTTGGCAGAGACTTTATTTCTGTAGAATCTGTTTTTCCTCAATATATATTATGCACATTGGGTATGTGACTGAAATACAGTAGTTTCACATTTGAAATGCGGCATCTACTTGTCAGTGTAGAACACGGAGTACAGTAAGTAAATAAGAACTTTTTGGCTTCTTCAGTATGCAAAGTAATTTCATTAGGCAGTTCCTTCAGAAATGGAAATGTGTTTTAGGTTTTCAGTTTACCTGGTATTGTCATAGAGAGGCATTAGGTGGGAAGCACCTCCAGAGGTCTAGGTCAACACCCTGCTTAAAGCAAGATGAAGTTGCAAGTTAGATCAGGATGCTGAGAGCTTGGTATGGGTAAATTCTGGAAATCTCCAAGGATAGAGATTACACACCCTCTCTGGGCACCTGTATCAATGTTAGGCCATGTTTTTTTTCCTAAACCTTATATCTAGTAAAAATTTGTCTTGCTGTTATTTCTGATCATTATCTCTCATAATCTTGCTGTGAACATCTGAGAATAATCTGGCTCCCCTCCTCTCTCATGCTTGTAAGTGGTGGTCACCAATACCAAGATGTGTCACTAGCCCTCACTGCTGCTCACAGTTTGTTCTCAAGGCAACCTGGCCTTGGTTTGGAGCTGCTCTTCATTCACTCTTGGACCATACTGTTGTATGGAGTTATTCTGCCCCAGATGCAGAATTACCACGGTTGAATTTCTGAGCTTCTCTTTAGCCCATTCTTCATTTGTAAAAGTCCTTTTCAGGGGCAGCAGTAGCCTCCAGCATATTCACTGCTGCCCCAGTTTAGTGTAATCTGTAAGTGAAATGAGGATGACCATCCCATCATCTATGTTGTTGATGTAGATGTAGTTATCAGTCTTTGCCCCAGGATCAAAGAATGCAGCTCATAACAGCTACTGGTTAGACTTTGGATCATCAAATCACTGTTCTTTAAGCCTGGTGACCCAGCCACCTTTTGCTTACCTGTTCAATTTTCCCAAAAAATGTGTGGCTCCCAATTTGACTCCAATGGTGCTGTAGAAGACCAAGTGGAAAACTTTTCTTAAGCCAAGGTACGTATCATCCCCTGTTTTCCCCTTGCCTGGACATCTCACTATAGCAGGCAGTAAGGCTGGTTAGACAAAACTTGCCTTCCATGCTGTCTGTTCCCACCACCATGTGTCTGGAAGTGGCTACCATGAAAGTTTGCTTCATAATTTTATCAGGGGTATTGGTAAGGCTGATGGGTTTGTAGTTCCCCAGATCCTCCTTATTTCAGGGATTTTTGTTTGATTAATTATGTTTTTTTCTCATGTTTCTTTTGTTTCTTTCATGTTTCATTGGGATCTCAGTCAGTTTCTGTGTGGGTTGCTTTGAAGCCAGCTTAGCATTTCTGAAACTGAGGCAGCCATGCTACCCATCTGGCATGTTTAATACACAGGGAATTGAATAACTTCAGGAGAAAGGCTTCTGCCTCTTCTTGCATCTATAAATGTTTTGTTCCACTTACCTGTCATATTATAGCTGCCCTCGCTTGGTCTGCTTGTCATTTACTGTCTGTCTGAACGTCTTTCCTAGTAATTACATAGGGGGTATGGGGAATCACAGGTGTTCCACTTAACTGCATTTCTCTTCTGCTTTGGCAAAGGAAATCTATTACTAAAATGAAATACAAATACATTGACAACTTATCTGTCCTGTTCAGAATCAAGTCATGTACGGACTTGAAGAGAATAATATTTTATCAGTTTTCAGCTTCCTTTATCTGGACATCCTAAAACAGTAGGAGATGTGTAACCAGCTGTCCCAATAGCCTTCTAAGTGAAGTAAGAACTTCTTCAGTTTTTCTGTGAGCAAGTGGAAAGGAAGTAATTTGGTTTTGTCCCCACAGTAAGCAATGAAATAGAAGGCTAAGGAATCTGGATGAATTTCTATTGTGGTGTCCTGAGTTCCATGAGAAGCATGTGATGCTGTCTTTGAGTCTTTGTAATTGACACTTTTTTTTTTTATGAGAGGTTTTTCTTATTGTTAGACATCTGCATGTCTTATCCTTCCTTTCACTGAGGTTGGAGACCACTTTCATTGGGTGCAAATTAATT